TCGTCAGTGAGGTGTGGTGTATTGGTATTGATGTCGGACTACCGATCTGAAGGTCTATGGTTCGATCCTTTACCAACACCCCATTATGATTTTTTTTAATTTACTCGCAAGAATTAATTTGAATATAGGGTTAACGCACGTTTTTCCGTGTTATAACGTCTGCAGAGTCCCGAGGAACGGTTGCTGTTGGCTCCAACAGTTTTGAGGGACTCTGCAGACTTTATAACACGAAATAAACGTGCGTTGACGCTATTATAGCATAAAATTTTCAAACAGATTCGTGATGTATAGTTTATACAAAACACAATTACATTAAATTCTTGTGCTTGAACGGTATTTATCCAATTCTATGTTTTACGTATGCGTTTCATTTTTCCGGGGCCAACAACTTGGAAAATTCTCGGAACCGAACGAAATTTTGACTTTTAATTGATTTAACAAAGCTTGGCCTTTGGAGATTTATTATCTCAAGAAAAAAAACAACGTTACATTACTCTACCCTCTACCCAAGACAAAACATGACCCTCAGAAATTCTTAGAATGATTTCAGATTGACGGTAGAAAAAAGATCAGTGACATCAGAAGTATCATATTTTTTTATAACAGTATCTTTCAACGGTTCTTTTTGTGACATTATGAAATCGTTTATGCTTTAGCGCATACGCGCTATAAAGGCAATTATTATAAATACTATATACACTGTTGGTACACACGAATAAAAGATTTGCAATAGTTTTGAGAGAATGGCAGTTTTAAATATAAAAAATAAGTTGCAGTAATAGGATTCGAACCTACCAGAATCGTCTAAATTCTTCAAGTGAAGTGAAACCTCCTTTACCAACTGCGCTAAGATTGATTTTTAATTGACACATTTTTATCAATTCGATGTTTTGTTATCAAAATAATAGTTGGCCAAAGTTTGTCTGCCAGTGAATTCGCTCTGTTTTGTTTATATTTTGCCGAAATATTTTCCTACAATGATGTAACTCTGTATACATTTGTACATTAAATTTATACGTTAAATGAGCCTAATTAATGGCCTTCGCCTTTTTACATAATGCATTCGATTTGAATGGGCGGGGTAAACTGTAATTCGGTTATAGGTTTTATACAGAGTTTTAAGAAATTAATTTCTTAAAACTTTGTATATAACCTATTACTAGTTATTCGTCTTTATTCCAGGATTGGATTCCTGTGTATATAGAATCAAGTGATTCTAACTCGCCGGCATTAACCACTTGATTAATAAATTACATTCTGTAATAAATGACAATATCATATTGAGAACAATTTGATTATTACTGCTTTAATTACATCTGAAACGTTTGCATTAATCATGACGTCAAACTCACCGTCAAAAATTAAGATGGAGGCATTTGCTTTTGAAAATGTGATTCATATATACTCGTTTCAGTTCCTATACAAATACAGAGTTAACTGTAAGACAAAGATTATACTTTTTATTCTTAAAGGCCATTATTATTCAACTTGACATACATTCCAAAAATGAATTAAAGACCTCAATTAGCTCTTTTGAATCTTAAAATCTAATGTGAATGAATTTTATATGGAAATGAACACTTATCTTTAGAGTACATTATTTCTAAAGTAACCGTACATTGAGATAAAATAACACTTGTGTCCCGTCCAAGTAGTTATTCAGTTTTGATATTTCTAATAAGATATTGATATTTCCAAATGTCTTTTGAATTTCACGGAAAATAAATGGCATGTCAGATTATCACATGTTTTATTATATTGTTATAATTCTGTGTCGAAATACACGAAGGACAAAACGTCAATTCTAACACTGCACCATAGACAAAGAATAAAAAAATACCGGTGTTGAACTGCCAATAAACACTGGTTAGGGACTAATTGTATATGCGGCTGTTATGTTTTCTCCCTCGATTATATAGTTTACAAACCCCTTTAAAGCAACAATAAAAAACATTTTTATTTATATTTCAGTTCTTATAATGTTTTCTTTTCATACAATACCGAAATAATATCTCATATACACTAATGTTACATATTTGATCCATATCAGTTAATAAATCCGTTAGCAGCGTAATGACGTCATCCTAGGTAAACAACCCATTCAAAAACGCAGACATCAGTTCAAACATACAAGATTGTCGTTTTGATGCGAAAAAAATAGCCACTAAGGCCTACGGCCTCCGCGGTCAATTCCTACGCATCAAAACTCCAAACCGGTGTTAAATAGCCGATAAACCCCGCTGAGACCGATGTTATTTCTGAAATGATTGCACACTGTGTTTAATCACGGGTAATGGTTGCAAATTTGAAAAAGTGGCGACACCTTTTACGCCCGCCAGTTTTTTGTTAATGTTAGTTGGTTTGTGTGTTATTTTGAAATGTTTGAATATGTATTGACTTAAAAGACGGAATAAATTTGCAACATACATGAAGTATAAGTTTTAAACAGTTTTGTCTTGTTTTTGGAAAATAACCAGAATAATCACTTGTAAAATCTCAAAATATGCAAATGACAAGTTTATTGTTTTAATAACTTTATAATATCAGAAGCTAGGAAGCCGAAACCTAAAACCGAGTGTGTCATATACCTTGCCTAAATGAACTGACATATCCAAACAAATCAAAATAAAATACAAACCCACTTACATAGACAAAACACGGGCGGGCGATATGATTTTGCATGACATTGTCGTCATTTTGTTAAGTTAGCAACCATTTATCTTGCTTGCACCAAGTGCAACCACGTCATGTGCTACCATTGATCAAAGTTGTATAATGATAATTTATTACGTTTTAACTATAACTGAAGAACTTTACATTATCCATATGTTGTAAGTTAATACCAGCAACATTAATTTTGTCGATGTAACGCCAGGAATATGATGACGTCAGAATACAAGCTGGTTGCACTGGTTTTCATTACAATGACGCAAGTTATAGCAGGAGTGTCAGACCAGTCGAATTCAACAATGTAAGTAATAAAACATATAGCTGTACAAACATCAACACGTTCAATCACTCAAATTTGAATTTTTAGGACACGAACAATCTGGGAATACATTTAGATGTCACAATTAATTTCGTTCAAACTCCAAAACTATTTCTATGAGTTAAGTATAATTTATCGGATTGTTTCTTTTACGCATTAAGAGGTTTTGGTAAATATGCTTCTACATTTTTTACAGCAAAATGTCTGATATAAATGACACATACGATTTTCTGAAATACTTTATTAGGTATTTTATTTAATCGTCTTGTCACTTGCAGGTACAAGATATTGCGCCGATTAACTACTGATTACCACAAAGAACTGCCTCCAGCATATGAGCGTTGTGAGTATTTGATCTCTTATTTACTTATTTATCATTAACCTTTATCCTGCTGGAGGCAACTGAATATATATTTATGCGACCAGTGCAGACCAAAGTCAGCCGGCATACCGTTTAGTCACATCATGCTGTGAACTGTGCAGATTACTGTTTTGTAATTTTGCATATTGAATGGTTTTGTTCAGACTGAAAGATGATAAAAGTCCATTAAGGATATTTAGCATGATAAGAGTATATTTTATGAAACGATTAAAAACAACTGTTGGTTTAGATTATCACGTCGTTAATTAGGGTGATGCAAGGCGAGTGGTCACCGGCAACATTTTATTATCGCTAATGGCTGCGCACATATTTCATAGGCATATAACTTTCAATTGAAGCCCTTTTAATGATCCCGTTTTGCTTTCTTTCTGTACGGCAATATTTTGAATACAAGAACTACAATATTTTAGGGATACAAGAGCTACACTTGAAAACGATTGTCTTATGGGACTGTTACAGTAAACAAATGTCACTTGATTATCCACCCTGATTTAGGAGGTGTTTAGATTGTATTATGACAGAATTTACCATTTTACTGTTTCTGACGTGAATGGCCTGTTCTATCTTCAGCTGACAGTCAGGTGATGGTAAATATAAACTTGTACATACAATCCATGTATGCCTTTAACGATGTTAATATGGTAAGATATTCAAACATGATTATTGTACCGATTTATGACTTTAATAATATTTCAAGATTGAACATACCTGTACTATAATAATTTGTCTTATCTAGGTGTTGGGTACCATGTCCTTTTTGTGTTTGCAATAAATAAGTCTATTGACTTCTGGAAATAAGCTGTATGTAAGCATATATTTTATGAGCTTATTCAGTATTCTATGATTTGTATTCAAAATTTATTGATGTTTGTGTTAATCAGTTTGTTTGTCAATACAGTATGTGGTAATTACGGTTTACTCATTGTATTAATAACGTCGTCGATCTTTTTAACGTCGACAAAATGCACAATCTGACTAAAGTTCAGCTCTTCTCATGTATGGATATAGCATAAAATTATTCAGGAACTGATTTTAATCAGATTGACATATCGCAATGCAAAGAATTATCTCACTGCTTTAAATAATGTCGCGTTGAATAGTCGCGGCATTATTGATTTGTCACTTTGTGATTTCCACGATCGCTTCAAATTGTCGAGCATCGTATCATTTGTGATGATGTCATCTTGCCTTGTTGCAATGTCACTTAGTCTGATGCTATATGGCAGTTTAGAATATCGCGGTCTGTATTTCTGCTGACCGCGGTACTCTACTATGCGATAGGCCACTAGACAATGCGAACCAGACTAGACAATGCGAAGCTTTACTCGACAATGTGAAGTGACATATACACAATCACGACCCTTGTAAGGAGCTTCAAATTTACACTCTTACCAGTAGACACACGATAATGAAAAGCGATAATACGAAAAGATAGTTTCGCATTTCCGAGTGCCACTTTGCATTGTCAAGCCTCGATTAGCCCTGTCAAGCATCGAGAGTTTCGCTTTGCATTGTCCAATATTTATCACATTGAAGAGTATCGTAGTCAGGAGAGATACAGACCACGATATTCAACTCTGTGAAGTGACATTGTGGCAATGTGAAGTGACATTCTGAGCGTTTGGAAAGTTTTGTTAAAATGGGAGTCATGTGCTTCAAATCCAAACACGACAATTGTTTTTCTGTTTCGTTTTGTCTATATTATTGAGTTTTGAAATAAAATATTATGTTTTTATGATCGCACGGTGCCCATACATAAATTGTAAGGAAATATACTTTTTTAAATTGACTAGATTAGTGAAAATCTGGAGCCACCCCATTTAGTTTTACTAATGTATATGATAAAAGAAAGTAATAATATAGCAGGTTTCTTTTTTAAAGAAACATGTCAGAAAATATTTAATGCTTCAAAAATTAAAACATTGCTGATGGGAACATGACAATGGGGAAAAAGAGGATATTTTGGATTGAGAATGACTTCTCACTCAAAAACCCTGTTCACTTAAATATAATAACTTGAGAACAATTCGGCTTATAATCGCAAGGATGATCCATGCTTGTAAATAACCCCTCTTTGAGATAAGTAGGTTTTTTGTCAAGCTCACAATGACCTTAAATAAGATTTCGTAAAAGAATTGATATTTCGTAATTACGAATTAATATTTCGTAAAATCGAATTTTATTTCGTAAAAACGAATTCATATTTCGCAAAACCGAATTAATATTTCGTAAAAACGAATTATTATTTCGTAAAAAGGAATTAATATTTCGTAAAAACGAATTATTATTTCGTAATTACGAATTAATATTTCGTAAAAACGAATCAATATTTCGTAAAAACGAATTATTATTTCGTAAAAACGAATTAAATACCGGGAAAAAAGTGTTGAAAATGTCACCTTAGGGGCTCCGTACAAATACCGGTACTTGATAGAATTTCAATCAACGGTATACAGCAATGTTCACAAGTAAATTTTATTGATAATGTAAATGTTATCTTTTATCAACGATATCAGGACTATTCTTTGACCATGTTTCTACGGGAACGCTGGGTTGACGAACGATTAAGCTTCATTGAAACACAATCAAATCATAGACTAGAGTTGGAAGGCTCAATGGTCGATAAACTATGGGTACCTGATGTTTATATCCTGAACGAAAAAAAGTCAAACTATCATGATGTTACAGTTCCAAATAAGATGGTGCATCTTTATCCAAACGGCACAATCCAATTTAGTGCAAAGTATGTGTTAACTTTAATTATATAATAGGAAATGAATACAGAATTAAAAAAAAATATATCTTACCTTTAAATACTTTCTCAAACTCGATTTTGGAAACATAAGGTTTGCATTTGTGTAAAAAGCCATTGCTCCGGAATATTTGGAATGTTGTCTGAAAGGCTACATGTTTGATTAGAAAGTTACTTACAGCTATCTGTGAATATTAATGAAGAAGAGTTAAAAGACATAATGTCAAGATATTTCTGCCCAAACTTGTCATGTTATTTTAATTAAAAATAAAGAACAAACAATATGCCTGATAAACTTATGGAAATTAATGTAATGATTTAGCTAAAAGAAGCAAATACTATATGTTTATACTGGGTTTTATAACAAACTATTGCTGTCCATTTTTATCAAACTAAAGGATTGGTTATCTCTTTAATAATTTCCAATATATATATTTTACAGAGTTACTGGAACTTTTTCATGTATAATGTTTCTGAAAAAATACCCGTTCGATACACAAATATGCCACTTAGAGATGGAAAGTTGTAAGTAAAATAATACTAAATACGTTCTTAAATAATAACCATAGCAAGTTAACTCTTCATAAATCTATACATAAAACAATAGTCATTTATGCTTTCTGATATTGATCAATTTTGCATTTTGAATGTTAAGCATCTAAGATGAAAATCTAAATGTAATAATACTTTCACTACCTCATGATATTTGTGATGAATTATTTACTTGTAATTACTTCATTGTTATCAAGAAGTTTATCCTTTTTTTCTTCAATATGAAACAATTGAAGATGGACACAGTATAGAAACATTGAAGTTTCGTTGGAGCGATGAAGCCGTATCAATGGCAACAGGCATAGAATTTCCTCATTTTTGGCTTGTCAATTTTACTACATATGAATGCGAAAAGATGTATTACAGTGGTACATATTGTATGTTATTCCTCCTACACAGAATAAAATACTTATTATTATTATTATTATTATTATTATATTTCTTCTCTTTGTTTTAATTTGATTCCGTATAGTATGCTTCATTCTGTTATTTCACAATATTTCAAAATATTTAAAAATTAATTATTAAGAATCAATATAATCATACTCAAATAAAAAATATATTTATTACGACCTAGGAAATTAATTCCCTGAAAGGTTATTCATCATCTAAAAATATTAAGAAAAAATGCTTTTAATATATTGTGTCTCATTACGAGATTAAATTAAACTTTGGAATTAATAAAATAGTATATAATTGAACTTGCAGTGATGTACCCATGTATTGGAGTGATGTTTACAATGCAAAGAAATTACGAGTTTCACATTTTGCATGTTTATTTACCAAGTATTTTGATTGTACTTTTGTCTTGGTTGAACTTCTGGTTGGACTGTACGGCGGTTCCTGCAAGAATCACACTTGGTCTTCTCACAGTGCTAACCATGACAACACAAAGTTCTAACTCCATGTACAATCTGTCGCATGTGTCATATCTCAAGGTAAAACATACAGTGTATCGCTTATTTTTCAACTAAAATTGCATGTAATTAATGAAAAGGCTTATAGACCAATTAGAGGACTTTGATACATTATTTGTAATATTGTGAGTATAATTCCATTATTTCTTGTCTTAGTTTATACAGAAGTTATTTCAGTTTGATTGTGTAGGAAACTATAAGCTTATAGATCGTTCTTGAAAATTGGAACCAACCAATACCGAGCAATGAGTGTAAAGTTTCTTTCTCAAGGAAAGACGGGGTTAGAACCCATTCGGCTAACGATCATTAGATTACTAGTCCGACCACTTGGTCATCCCGCCACTTTAAATTTAAAAAAAACTCTACTAAATTCTATTGATTTTCTTGTCTTTACGATTAAGTTTTCAAAACCACGCATGAGTAAATAAATAGGGATCATTTATAAATATCATGGAAGACAATATATGATTTATTATCGGAGAAAAGTTAATACAAAAGTAATCACAATTCATTCACCTATTTACTATATATTTGAATTGTTGTATTAGGTATTATACTATATCAACAGGCTATTGACGTTTATATGGCTGTGTGTCTGACATTTGTTTTTCTTGGCCTTGTGGAGTTTGCCTACGTAAATGTTCTCACACGTGCCGAGAGGAAAGACCCAGCAGAAAAACGAGTTGGACTGAAAGTTGCTGACGTTGCTTTGAAAACACAAATAGATAAAACCAAACCTGTACGTTATTTCCAGTCATTCGATATTGTTAGTTGTATCTTTGAAAATAGAAATCAAGATTTGAAAAAAATGATGCCAACATTAAGAACGAACGATTGTGCTTTTCACAATGACTGGTATTAATCTAAGACAGTATGTTATTGATATTCATTTGGACAACCAGTATGTCCTTAAGAATTCGTCTATAAGTTTACAGTTCATGTTTTACTTGTAGAATCATCAGTTGCTACATGAAAGGCCATATATGATGTTGACTTTTTGTAAGATATATCGTTCATCAAAATTATAATTATTTTACAGATCTTCAACAATATGACGACATGGAATACACTCTTGTGCTTCAAAAGTCTCTCAAATTTAGGTCGTGCCCACCTTGTTGACAAGATTTCCAGGATTTTGTTTCCTTTTGTGTTTGGGTTATTCAACCTGTTTTATTGGTGTTTTTATGTTATTTTTTAAAAGATCCTATTAAAAATTGATGTGTAGATAAAACAACTAATGAAATTCACATGGTGTTGATTCTATATTTCCTATTTTCCATATTGTGTCAATGACAAGATGATTATTAATGACGCTTTCAACATCAATAACAACTCGTAACTCTTTAAATAACTAATGTCACTAGTTGACAACGTATTGTATGGACAATTAAACAAAAGTTGTTGTGTAAATTATAACGGTATAATGTACATTTTGTTGATAATATTCACGTAAGGCAATTTAACCAAGTCGTCACTTAAAATATATCAATATATCTGATTTGAAGTAAGTTCTATCAATCAATGGTAGTGACTTCCACATCGATTAAACAAAGCCTTATATTCAACAGGACAGGCTTTTATGCATTCGTCTATGGATTCAGGTAAAAAAACATTTACAGTTCCTATTAAAATAAATGATACAACAATTTTTCAAGAGAACTACTAATTAATTTTGTCACAAAACTATTCATATGACAAAAAAAACTGGCTCAGTGGGTAAGTTCTGCTGTGTTTTTTCTAAGTGAAAGGCATAGAGAGTTACCAATATTTTAACATGCAGCAATAGATAAAAGATTGCACTTTTAAATGGTGTACAATATAAAGGATCAAATGTACAGCCATTAAGTTTTAATTGCTAAAAAATGCCAAAATTTTCACTTTTTGAAAGGCATGAGTGATATTTCAATGGAATATAAAGGAGATGCTTTTCTCTGTTATCTAATTAACTGAATAATGTCATATAAAAATCAGAAACTAAGTAATGAAATTTTAGAATAACAATGAAGAAGACATAATACAGCGAGATTTTATTTAAGAAGTAGAAAACGCAGTGAGAGAAGCGACTTGTTATCTTATGGTACTGGAGAATTAACTAACAAATATGCTAAGTCATTGTGTTTGTTCCGCAAATAGCTTCATATAACAGACGGCCATCTTTTTGGTATATATAATTGACAAGAAATGACATATAGATGTCTTATTATGTGTCAATTTGTGACTTTAATCCAAAATATGTCATTTAACACTGTTGAAGGGCAACAAGTGCAGAGACATTTTTTAACTTATAAAAATATTTATGTTTTATGTTAATTTAATAATTAATCTTGCCATTTGTTTTTATTTACTCTGAATTTGTTTTCTTAGAAATGATATCGTCACTCCTCGAAACTCTGTATAAACTGATGTGTCTGAAATGAATAAAAAGAACAAATCTTGAAATATTGTTTTCCAATAAAATGCTTGAATTGCTGTTTTGTCTTGTCATAACTATTTTATTACAGCAAATAAAAGATCACATACAGATAATAATATGTTAACGTTATAACAAACATTTGATGAAATCGATTTAAGTCGTAGACATAAGTCATAAAAATACAAAAAACCGCATTAATTATCAGTTACTTGAGATTCAATGATTCTAGTCTTGAAATTATTAAATAAAAATACATAATTGTCGGCATTGTTTTATAATGTTGTAATTCTTGTAACTGTCATAGAGTGCAACATTAAAACAAATTCGAGTTTAAATCAAGTTTATGATTTTACTTGCGATGTCCTTTTTATTAATTTAGAGCTGTATACATTACAGAATACAAATGTATATCTAAACTTTATATGATAACAGAAACATTTTAAGTGAAATACGAGTGTCACCGAGATCAATTTATATAATTTTCTTTTTCGTATATGTCTATATGTAACTGTAGTATACGCCTTTAATAAGTGTTTTTTTTCTTTTCATATGTAAAATGTAAACGAAGACTTTTATTTCTAAACATCAATAAGTCTGCCGGCAGATAAACCAATTTTAGAGAATGATATTTGCCTGTTGAATGTTTTTATAATCAAGTTCATTTTCATTTTAAGGTTCCGGTGTCCCTTGTAAAGTTATAAAAACATATTCGGAGTAATCATTACAGCTTTACCTTTGTACTAAAGCATATGTGATTCATTGAAAAACGATTAATATTTTCTAGAAATAATCCAACAAAATTGAATCATATTTAAGTATGATAAGTTACTATAATCTCAAAGTTATCTGTCCATGTAACTGATAAGATAAATGTTTCAATATTTTAAACAAGTTCAAAGAATGAAGATTAGTTTTTCAGGAGATGAAAAGCTTTTAAAAGTGCCCCAGAAAAACAATTTTATATTGTTCTTCTTTTACTCTACAAAATCTTATTAAAAATATATACTAAGCAGCAGAAATAAATATATGGTTACATCGAGCAACGAATGTATGTAATTTATGATTCACATTTGATGGAGAGGTTAATTAACATACTAACACATTTTAAAAAACAAGATCCGCCTGATCAGAAAGAAATCGAAGAACGCAAGAATAAAATCCCTTCTCCTGATATAAAGTAATGATCAATAAAAACAAATGAAAGTCGAAATAAACAAAATACTTCTACAACTCATAGAATTTTGTAAAGAATAGAAGATGTTGAGATGAGACATATTTGAAACATACGTCACTTTCCACCAGATATAAATGGCGTCGTATCGATTGAATTAGTGAACATATTTTAACATAAATGCAGGAACATAACGTTTAACCCTTCATTTTCCGAATCTCATCTGTTTGTTTTTTCTTTGCAATTTACAATTTGTTGTAATATCTAAATACATGCTTGTTTTTATTTTATGAGAATAAATGAAATGATTGTTTTAATTAAATGATTTAACGATATGACATTTCAAGTAAATATATAAATACTGCAGGCGAAACTGAATAAGATCCGACAAAACATGTGTGTGCAACATTATCTGATAATCGAAATTAATTGTCTTTCTTCTTCTTAAATTTGATCACATGTATGAGATAAACAGCTGTTACTGTATATAAGATAAACATACATAGAAAAAGACAAAATATAAATGATGACTCCATTGGTAAATCTCATTTACTGTTAGTTACTGATAACATAAAACAGTATAATATTTAATAATAGATAGGTTAGTCTCACAATGAACTGATATGATATTAAAGGGCATTGTTGATTTACTTTATATCTCTATAGGGAACATTTAATCTGCTTCCATTCTCGAAAAACCTCATATCTACATTATCAAGTTTTCCGATAATCTCCGATGATAATCAAAACGAGGAAATGCTTTTAACTTGGTGATTATTATACAGAGGAAGGTTATATGAAAGGGGCGTGTTTATCAGCACCTCACACAATGTTGCTTCTCCAATATTCGACATTTACCCGTACAGTACAGGACTGTACACGTCAGGACTAATCACTACAATTTCAGAGGAGATGTTAAAGTAAATTCTAAATCATATTTAATCCAATAATCTTGCAAAAAAGAATAAGAACATTTGATAATTGTATCATTTTTGCAAAAAGATCATTAAATAAAAACTGTATTTTAAAAATGCGCCAATGCAATTTGTATGCAATACTGTCAGTTGAAGAAAATTTCAAAATGATATCATAAACAGATATGTGGCTATAACAAAAGTATCGGGGTTTTGTTGTTGTTGATGATGTTGTTTTGATATTCAAACAATTTTCGCAAACAATTGTTTAATTTATACCAATATTGCGCCTAACTTAGGTGGCAGTAGCTGGTGTATGTAGAATATTGCACATAACTTAGGAAGCTGTATTGCACCTAACTAAGGTAGCTGCTGTATGTAGAATATTGCACCTAACTTAGGTAGCTGGTGTATGTAGAATATTGCAGCTAACTAAGGTAGCTGGTGTATGTAGAATATTGCAGCTAACTAAGGTAGCTGATGTATGTAGAATATTGATGTCGTGTATATCATTTACCAATAGAAAAATGAGCGTCTCTGTACCCTGTTGTTGACGTGAAATGACAAGAGAACCTCTATCAATAATGAACAGTAGTAATGGCAGTGACTATGTAAATCTATTAGATAAAACAGTCAATAGTTTTAGGTGATTACAAACCATGAGATCAAATATATAAACGGAGCATTTGACTGAGATCATTAACTTCTAATGACGAAAGATACGCAGATGATAGTAGAACAGAACATATATAACATTTTGAAATGTTAGTCATTCTAGTGATTTTTTGTATCGGTGAATTAACTGAAGGATCAAAGAACGCTACTATGTAAGTATTTTATTTAAGTTACTTAAAAATATGTAGTAATATAAATTTGTTGTTGAATTAAATGTTGCCAGGATTGTCAATTTATAAACTTAGATTTGTAAGGTAAGAAACAAAAACATTATATTTGTATTTCTATTAGAATTAAAGATAGAAGTAAATAGTGAGTCATGTGGTGTCAACTTGGGTTGTAAAACACGTTCAAATAATATAAAATGTCACTTTCGCTACCATGAACTCTAATAAAAAGACTCTTAGATAGGGTACAAGTTTCTTCTTAATAGTTATTATTAGATTGATGGATTTCAACAAAGTGACAAAATCACAAGATTTCAAAGATACATTTCCCTTAAGCAGGTAGGATAAAGCCTGTTTGTGGTTACGCAATTTATTCATCATGCAAGGTGTAAATATAATGAAGACTAGTCTGCCGAGCCCGTGAACTGTTATGTTTGTATACTTATTAAAAAAAAAAATGGCACTTATACAAAAAAAATCAGAAAAATATTGACCACAAGATGGTTTGTATTTAATTAAATTTGTATATGAGGGGTGAACAATAAATAAAAGTTGCGGATTTTTGCCTTTTTGTAAAGCGTTTTTGCCTTTGGGTACTTGAATTCTTGAATGGAAAATCATTTAAACCTATGTCCATATGGTGTTACGTCAGGTCCATCCAGTTTTGCACACTTTCGTTGATCCGTAGATGAGATGAACGCAACATATACTGATTAACGTAACGAGTCAAACAAGCGTTAAAAATTCACAATTTTGTAACTTTATTTTTCACCCTTCCGCTATTTACAAGTAAACAAACGTCTGATTATTTTCAAATTTCAATGGAAATCATTACATTTCTTTATATACTGATGCCAAGTGTGTCACACTCTATTTTGCAACAAAGTATAATTTTGGTGGCAAGCTCTAAATGTGTAACTAGATCCAGTTCTGGGCAATAAAAAGCCAAAATCCCTGTTCAGAAAAAACAATTCCTACAACACCTAAGAAGAACTGGACAGATAATCTGTGTAATTTGTCAAAACTTAGCATTGATATTATGACTGCATTTAGATGCATTATAGATATCTTCAGAAAATGCAAAGCAAAGGTTAAAATAGATTTTTCATGGTCTAGTATTTTTAACTTGTTTAACTTATTTGTGTTTCAAAGACAGTCATCTTCATTTCAAGTCGTGCAATGCTATGTGAACGAAATGCTATGTAAATAGATAATTTTTTGAACGATTTGGGCAAAAAAAAATCAGTTTTTAATATTCGATATTTTAGAAACTTTTCATTCAAGATGTATAAATACACGACTCTGTTAATTCAAGTCAATGATGAAATGTTTGATAAACTTGATGACAGACAAAGCTCAGTTTGTCAGACAAGCAGTTTATCGGCTAGAACCACTGTAATAATGGGATAAAATTTGGTAAAGGAGTACCAATATTAAAAAAATAATGTCATGAATAAAATCATTCAAAATGGTTGAGGTGAAGTGAAAAAATCACTAATAAGCTTGTCTGATTTTATAGCAAAGCTAAGTTGCGCATTTCATGCTATGTAAACAATCGGCATTTATTATAACATTACACAAATGAGTATATACTCGTTTTTTCCTTAATTTAAATCAATAGCAAGACTTGAAATAGTCATTATCTGTAGTATAATCCAAACAATAATATCTAAATTTTCACTAATATCATGAAGAACAATATCTGTTTTTATAGTTTTAATTTTGATATTGATTTCATATATTTCCTTAGAGTCCTAATGGATGCTTTGTTTTTCCTTTTCAGGAAAACCGTCATACACGATATGTTTGACAACTATGACAAAACACTCCCGCCAAGATATGACAAGGGTAAATATAAATATTGTGTTATAGACGTAAATGCATACAAAATATAACAATAAAGATCGTAATGTTTTTGTTTCTATTTGTGATGTGAGTAAATTTAAAAGGTAAATTAATCAAGGTTTGTAAGACTTTCGAGGGGTGATCTGAGTTTAGAACTTAGACTTTCTTTATAAACTCTATAAAATAAATTCTAAATCTTATTGATTATTCAAAAATGAAGAAATATCAAGGCTTTAACACATATAAATCATAAATTTAACATTATTCATAAAACGCCGGATTAACATGACGACGTTATGTCGTGAGGAACTCAACAACGGCGAACAAAGCGTTAAGTTAAACAGGCCTAACAATTTTAACAGCCCTCCCATGAGCCTGTTCACAGCATCAAAAGTTAGTTTGCAATATATGCCTGACAGTACCATACGTGATTCCCGTAGCATCATTGACGTCACGGATAGTGTTTTTCTACGTCACGTCGGTATAATTAGACTGTACGGGATGATTTTTGTTACTATAGATATAATCACTTTCTGTGTATACGCACCTTTGTACAAATTCCATACATCTGCGTTGCAGAATATCCCAAAACAGACTCCACAGCTGTTAGTGTAGACAGGCCCATATTTTACGTCGGAAATTCGAAGAAATGCCTTGCGGAAAGTGCTTTGTTTTACGTTGATGACAACATACATATATAAAGACATGTATTAAGATACTCCGGACTACTTATATTCATTATTTGCATAGTCGCATAGATTCGGCACTTATTTATGAAATGTAGCAATTTTCCGTATGCTTACTTAATTTAACCATAAAAACAACCAACTTAAGTTCTTAAGTCCTTAAACGTCGAAAATAGTAGTTACAGTAAAATAATACGTATTTTCTGATCACCCCTCGTGTGACTAAGTTATCTGTCCTTAAAAGAAACAAAAATAACAAACAAAAAATCGCAGATAACTCGAAAACAAGACCGGTGACCCCAATTATTTGTGTTTAAAATGTTCATGTAGTTAATTTCTAATTTCAAGTTCTTTAAATTCAACAGTGTATTGTCAATAAAGAATTGAAAAAGTAACGAGAGAGAAAATGGGGCAGAGTCTTTAACTAGCTAATGTTTAGAAACTGTATTATTAATTATCTCATGTTAATCATTAAGTAATTTTTTAATTCTAGTTGGTGTCGACAAGCAGGTGGAGGTGAAAATTAACGTTTTCGTTCATTCAATGTTTTCCCTCAGTGAGTCCAAAATGGTAACAATTCATATCGTTCTATTTTCCTATAATATTATTTTAATATAGATCATGAATCTTTTAGCACGTATAACAATAGAAATTTCATTTCACAAATCGTTATACTCAATCTGTTTGTGAATTATTACTTTTTTAATCTCAATCGATATATATTAAACAATGGATGGTTTAATATTAGATAAGAGGAGATATCACTATTTAAATAACGGATGAAAACTTGCCTACCATTTACATTACGCAAATAAATAGAATAATTTGTGATTAACCTATTATTCCAATCTGTTTCGGAACACAATGGAAATTATATATTGACATTTCCATTATTTGATTCAGCATTAAGTAAAATTAATCAATTTGATACATATGTACCACTAAGCTAAAATATATACTAAACTGGAAAGTAGATTTTACAAGACGGTTGAATTTGAAATATTTGAAAAGGTCTGACAACTAATTGTAAATGATTTCTTAAACATGAGCGGAAACAATACAGAATACGTGTACAAAGTACATCATCGTACAAAATATCTTCATTCAAATATATCAAATATAACTCATATTCCATAATCATATCAAAATCAAATGTTAGCTAAGTACATTGTTTTTATTGGTTAATTTATAATTGCGCAAACACCAATCAGCAAAATGAATTAAATGATAAATAAATAATTCAGTAATGAAATATTTGATAGTTTTTATATATGCTGGGTCTAATGTTGTAGGGATCACCATCGGCTGCAGCTTGAACCGACAAGCGCTATCTGCGACGTGTGCTCATTTAAGCCTATGAGCCAAGGGTCATTTAATCAAAAATTTTGTCGAAATCTGAAACTTACACCAGAGCAAGTATATAGTCTCTCCTTTACAAAAATTCAAATCTTACAAAATTTTGCTTTCACAACGCTTCAGAATCCAAGATGGCGTTCAATGTAGCCGCCGATTTTATGATAATATTACAGCAAAGATTATGACGTGTTTGGTAAAAAGTTGTACACACATTTTAGAAATAATCAAGTTATGATAAAATAACAATGAAATATATAGCTTTTCAGGTTTTTCAGGTGTCTCAAAATTTTCAAAATATCAAAGAAAAATGCCTAAATTTCGATATTTTCGGTAGCTTTCAGTAATTCGATACATATTACTATATGTTCATTTTTTATTTTACCCAACCCACCGTAATGTAAGAAATTTTAAAAAACGTGAAAGCAATAAAATACATGAAAATAAAGAATAATTGCATTAAATCACATGTTAGGTATTAATGAAAAAGCAGAGAAATAAAATTATACATATTTCTGCGAATTTTGGTGTTGTTTTTTGTTTTTTTTTTGCGATTTTGGGGTGAAATTACCCCACCCACTTTAACCAAGTATAAAACTTACAAATTATGCTAATCTATGCATTTTTTATTATAACAACTTAAAACTTACATAGTATTTATAAAAAACAAAACAATATTAGAATTTTAGTAGCTACTTGGAATATTTTTGTTATTTTTAGGTAACCATAATAGAAAAATGTGCCAAAAAAAAGGCATTTTTCTTTGATATTTTGAAAATGTTAAGACAAAAACCTAAAACGCTATATATTTCATTGTCACGCCTCCAGGTGAGCCAAAATATTTCAAGAAAATCAATATATAGAAAACTGTAAAAAAATTTAAAGAAAGGTAAAACTATTCAAGATCCAAGTTATATTTTACATGTTATGTGCGGTTTAAAACTGGTTTTGCAGTGTTTTATTACCATATTTCTACTGCGTTACCAACACAGTAAGGGCTGTTTTTGCATAATTATGTTGACGACATTTGGTAATTTTATTGGATTGTAAGTGCCGATTACAATATGTTAATTATTTTATTTGTTCACCTCACAATATTTTATCATTGAATACATTTCTAAAATTTTTATGAAAATAAACATGGATCTGAAGGCGTGCTGCTTATTCATAACTTGACTATTTCTGAAATGTGTGCACACCTTTTTATCGAAAACGGCATAATCTTTGCTGTAAAATTTACATAATAAGATAAACAGCATAAAAGCGGCGGCCATATTGGACGCCATCTTGGATTCTGTAGCGTTGTGAAAGCAAAATTTTGTAAGATTTGGATTTTTGTAAAGGAGAGACTATATACTTACTCTGGTGTAAGTTTCAGGTTTGGACAAAAATTTAGATTAAATGACCCTAGGCTCTTATGCTATTTGTTATAAGAATTCAAATTTCCATTATTTTAAACCTTACATACATTTCAAAATATACCTTGCAAAGAAATGATTTATGGACTTTAAATAATTCATTTCCTTCATGCACTGTTTCTTCTGTGTTTGCTCGTTAAATAGAAATCATTTCTACATCAACAATAGCTTTCATATTTTGACCGACATTATATCGCCGTCGAATGGTTGAGTAGTTTGGTCTTTATTAATTCAAAGTACTTTTATGTATCCTATTGCCGCATAGTAAACTTAAAACTATTAATAATTTATATATAACTGAAAGTTCACTGATTCAAACAGCTAGTTAATAGGTTATAAAATAATCTACTTTATTTAAGAATTCGATGGTGGCGTCCTACATTATTTAGTATCGTGTTATCAATTTCTCAACAACGAAATCTTGCATTATATAGATTTGATTTTCAAGTTTTTACTCCAGCACTAAACACCTTTCTCACTCCCCAGCAGTGATAGGCCTTTTATTACAACTTTTCCAGCCAACCGCCACATATTTTTTCGGACAGAAACACCTATATTTCTCTCATGCTATATCATGGAACGAGTCATTTTTATTTATTAACTTTATGGGAAATGCTCACTTGCAAATTCAACATATAAAAATAGTCTTGAAGTCTATTATAACTATAATCCTCAAGAACTGAACATTGTAAAAGAAAAGAATGCATCCTGAAATCATATTGGTAGGGACGGAAAGAAATGATCCCCCAAAGATTAATTTTGTTATGGTTCGAGATACATATAGCATTCATATTTTGCTCATTTTATATAATCTATAATTACTATAATTAATATGAGTGTAAGTCGGATAAAAAAAATGAAAATATCTAACCTTTATATTAAATAATATATAGAGAATATTCAAGTTTCTTCTATAAATGCAGGATTTATTGTGGTATGAAAATTATTATATTTCACTCTTGGCTACTGTCACTTGAAATATTCATTTTCACACAATTCGATAAAAATAAATCCTGTATTAATAGCAAAAACTTGAATTTTCTGTTTATTTTATTTTTTTGCTCTTTTTTAACCTTATGAATTCCCTTTTACGTTTGTGTATTACCTGACTTTAGAAGAAAGTACGACATCAATTTACAATGAAAATACGAAAATAAAAAAACCCATTTCATTTCTTCAATATTTCTGTTTATTTCAATTTTAAGTATATAATACATTTGATTTTTGTTTGTACAAAAACATTTCAAAATTTGTATTTTTTATTTTTATTAAATTGTTATACTTTTGTTTCTTTGTTATTATAAGCAGAAGGCTGTACTGAAAATAAGTCTACATGTTCTCTTTATTGTAAACTTTTGTAATTATGTTACCTTCTCTAAATAAAGATTTTATTATTATAATATTGTTATTATTATTTTCAAGGAATATTCAATGAGCATGTTTTTGAGAGAGCGGTGGCTGGACGAGCGTTTGAAATATAACAATACCATTAACATCAGTCGGGTAGAACTTGACAAGTTCTATTTTGAGAGCGTTTGGATGCCGGACATGTACATTCTTAGTGAAAAAGAGTCGCAATACCACGATGTTACTGTTCCCAACAAATTGTTACATATATATCCTGACGGCACCGTGCAATACAGTGCAAAGTAAGAAACAAACAATGTATAGAAAAATTTAAAATGGTACTAGTAAAGTCAGCTTGAAAAACACAGATATAAGGTTATCAAAATATCCATAATGGTTTGATGCATTGTAAAGTAGTTACTGATTCTTTTCACTAACACAATTTTATGTCGATATTTAAATAATCAAATGCAGTCTTTTACTGTGAGCTTTAATTATAACTTGTCATTGAAAGTTGAAAACATTATCAAATGTGAAGTAATTGAGTTAAAAATTTTAATTAATAACTAAAATTAATGATCACAACGGATATGTTATTTGTTTTTCAGAGTGACAGGTATTTTTTCGTGTTTAATGTACCTAAAGATGTACCCATTCGATACACAGACATGTACAATGGAACTTGAAAGTTGTATGTTTTACAATTAATATAAATTGATAATTGTTTTATTTTATTATCTGAAATAACATTCGTGTATTTAGATAATTGTGAGTACTTAACGATATTAATGTTATTTAAATTGTTTAAAGACAGTGCTAAACTGCTTTTCTTAGTGCGATAACAAAGTTAAAGGGTTTGCCAAATTATATTATCAGTATGACATTTTGATATCTTAAGTGAAACAAAAAAAAATAAGTTTCAATAAAATATTTTGACTAAACTGTATTGAAATTAAATATTTCATCGAATTTAAGCAAAATTTGACAATATTCGGTCTAATTTTAAATACCACTTTAATTTTAAGATGGTCACAGCACGGAGACAATGAAGTTTGTTTGGAATGATAATGCTATCACATTGGCCCCAGATATACAATTTCCCCAATTTTCTGTCATAAATTACAGCTATTACAACTGTGATAGGGACTACTATGGAAGTAAGTATCTTTTTTAGTTAATTTATTTCAAAAGTCGTATTCTTTATGATTAAAAAGACGTGCTTAAGTGTTTCCATTAAGTTGAAACTTCAATACATAAGGAAATCTTGAAAAGAATAGTTCCTTCGCAACTGAATAATACAATTAATAGTGGATACTTTACTTAGTACATCTCATTCAAAACACTTTATTAAACAGTACCGTAGTTATATAAAGCGATGTAACGTATTAATTAAGCCTTCCAGTAATATATACTCTGGGAATGTTGAGGGCCAAATTAACTTTTTTTTTTCACATAAATCGGGTAAATTTAAACTTTAAACTGTGAAATTTTAACTTAATGTGCTATAATGGTACTTTTTTACACATGTATAAATATTTTTTACACTATATTCTGTAACATTTTACACATGAATCAGTAAAGTTTTACACTATATTTTGTATATTTTACATATGAATAAGTAAAGTTTTACACTATATTCTGTAAAATTCTGCACATGAATCAGTAATTTTTTACCCTATATTCTGTACATTTGACACATGAATCAGCAAATTGTTTATACTACCGTCTGTGCATTGAAGACATGAATCAGTAAAATTCTTATACCATAGTCCATGTACATTTTACAGAATAAATAAGTAATTATTTTGCACTTAAGTTTGTACATTTTAGACATGAATTAGTAAAATGTTTATACCAAAGTATGTACATTTTACACAACATTAAGTCAATTTTACAGATATTTGATTAACAACATAACTGAAGTACATGGTACAATCTTACAAACATAACATTAGTAAAATATAGATCACAATTTTTTAACCCTAAACATCTTTGAATTTTCTACTAAATACAGTCCATTAGAAACTTGTTTTGATATTTGATTTTATAAAAGTTGTAGTGATTTGACACTACAAATTGGATCAAAGTGCTGGAAGCACTGAATACATAGGCCTAACATATGCCTTATAATACAAATTTACAGCTGTTTTAGATTTAGATTGTAAAATATTCAACATTTACTGATAACTGTTTAAACCGTATCTAAAATGTACCGCTCAAAGTATAAAATTTACTGTTTAAAGTGTAACCATTTACATGTAGAAAATCAAAACTTGTCTATGTGGCACGTATACGACGTTACCTTGCATAATGAGAGTTAACTGTGTTGGTGATCACGTGACATTAGAATACATAAGCATTCATTTTGGATAACCAATATTTTCATGCAAAAAAAATCTGCAAGCATTACAGGAAAAGTAAAATAGCTTCAATGGAAAGTTATATACTATTGGAATCGGCAAATATTTCTTTGGGATATAGTATATGTTTGTTTAGTCCGTGAATGAAATTTATCTAATCTATTGAATTTCGATAAGATTTGATATTAAATTATTGACTAAAATTTGGCTCGGGGCCATTATTCATTTTGCCTTCCGGCCCTACTCTGCCGTATATTAATCTCTTATTATATCAGTTTATTATATATTTAAAGTTGTTGCTTAATACATCCAAATAAAAATCTAATCTGTCTATAGCAGAGATTTTACGCGCTGACAAGTTTTGAAAAATAATTCTAAGCCTCGATACAGAATTATATAGAGGATATTTGTTGAAAGATGAAATTTTATTTCATACTGCGGGCTTTAAAAACAGTATTCTGACGAGTGGCGTAAAATTACATCTTACACAACAAACATTTTTTTTTATGCTTAAAAACAAGTTAAAACGAAATTTCCTTAATATTAACGTTAATATTCAAATCTGTTTTCCACATTGAGAGTCGAATTTCTCATTAAATACAAGAAGTCTGAAGAAGGGCTGAAAATATAAGTTCGACAAGCAACGTTAAATGGCGGTGATATCATTCATTTTATTTAAAAAATGTGAATGATCGCTTGTTTAATAAAAACAAACAATTCTAGTAGGAGAAAAAGTCGAAACATCCATCCATATTTCTGTTACTTATTGCGAATTTATATTAGACCTGGCTTTGTGAAATGTAAGCGGCCGCCATTTTTAAAAGTTGTGTATTTCATGGGAGGAAAATGATTGTGTTTGATTCAGAGGGATGTCATTTGGATTGGTTAGTTATACACATTTTTAAAAGAAAGAAGACTTATTTGAGAATTGTAGCAGACAATAAATAAGTGTTGTCAGATGTGTAAACATTCAAAAAGCGGATAGGTAAATGGAAAACTTGGCATTGTTGGAACTTGAAAAGCTGCCTTACGAACGCTGGGTTGTTTACGTATTCTTCGGGCTGATGGCTGTCATTGCTTTTCATGTTTTTATAAAGCATACGACAGTCATTGCTCGTAGGATTCTTAAATATGCCCAAATGTCATCAAAAGCAGTTTTTTTCAGACTGTAAAAATGAAACAAAAAAATTGAGACGATATTTGGTGATTGGGAATGAATTTGAATGAATAGAAGTAAGTTTTCTTCTATTTATTACTTTTGACATTTAAGTTATTTATTAATTTCAGCTTTGCTTTTCTCTAAACAGCCTGACATAAGATTGTCAGCATTGTCAGCAAAAATAAAATTGAGGTACCACATGGGGAAAATCTTAAAAAGTAGTTTCGTCATTGAAAAGTGTGAAATTATATTTTGATAATTTTCACTTTGAAATTATCAAATATAATTTTCATAGATAAATCAGTAATCCACTGAAAAGCATAAAATAGATATAAATTAAGCTCACCTGGTGCAAAGGTGACTTGTATTATGATAGGACATATTATGACATAAAATGTATCATGACTGAAAGAATGGCAATACTTTGTTTGCAGTTATCTACCCTTGTATAGGCGTCCTGTTTATCTTGGAAAGGCAATATACTTATCACATCATTCAAATTTATCTGCCAAGCATTTTGACCGTGGTTTTATCGTGGGTGAATTTCTGGCTGGATTGTTCAGCTGTGCCGGCGAGGATCACACTAGGACTTCTCACAGTGCTAACCATGACAACACAAAGTTCTGCAGCTAGGGCAGACCTCCCGCAAGTCTCATATATTAAAGTATGTTTTGCACTTCAATATTTGCATGTGTCAATTATACCATATATTTAATCATACTACTGGATGTATTGGTGGAACGATTATAAGTGTGACCATTTATTTTTTTCAATTTCTAATAAGTTCTTTAAGACAATGAAAATATAGCTAAAAGAAAAAATTAGCCAGTGTCAGTCCTAAATCTCTGCACTGATAACATTTACTTCCTTCCCTACTAATGTAAGAGTTTACGATGATATTATTTTCAGCATATTTATAGTAAAGTGTATGATCAGGGTTTATACAGTAATGGAGGTTTATCTCGATCAAAATATACATGTATAAAAGTAATGAAGGTTTTTGACTCTGTGCTGGAACTATAAAGAAGTCATTATCGCTGTTGATTTTTTAATGTTTATTGATTAATATAAATGAAAAAGTAATTGATATTTTAATTTATCAAAAGTAGCAGTTCATCTCAATCTGTGCTTTGATTCGCATACGTATGTAAATTTGCGTTTAAATTGTGTTAATACACTTTTCCATTTGACATATTCAGGCGATTGATGTATACATGGCACTTTGTTTAACATTCGTCTTTCTTGGTCTTTTGGAATTTGCATTTGTCAACGTTTTAACAAGAGCTGGTACTAAAAGCGATAAGTCTGAAACCAATCTAGACGAGAAAATGGTCGAAACTTCTAAACAACAACGTGAATGCAGGTTAAATAATGTGAGCTCAACGTTTCAGTCATATGAGAAGCAGAAACAAAATGTATGTTTGATCACTCAATCATGCTGATTATTATTATTATTATTATTATTATAATTCATATATCCATATTTTGTGTTATAGATGGGCATATTTGTGGATAATATAATATAATATTAATTGATAAAATAGTATTGTCATCTTACTAATAATTATGCGTGGTTTACAAGAATTTTGGTTAATTTACGTTACAACATTTTTGAATAAACCAAAAATAGATAAAAATAAATATGTTATAGCATCAGTTCATAAATTGACATAATAGTGAAGGGATTTATGTTTCGTTGGACTTGAAAAACTTTTATATTGATTAATGTAATTCAATGCTTTAATTTTTTTAGAATTCAAGCCGGAAATCAACTAGACCAGGATTAATTCCCTTCTTATCAGTATCACCACATGGAAATGTCAGTCCTAGTGCAGTTGATAAAATGTCGCGAGTTGCCTTCCCTGCCGCATTCTTCTTGTTCAATTTATTTTATTGGATGTACTATTTCGTTCTAGAGAGATAAACAATAAAGTAATCCTATTCTGATATTAATTACTCTCTACTATAATCATTATTGGTTAAAGAGAGACAACCGTGGTGTATCTTAAAAGAAAATTCAAAGAATAGATTTTGTAAAAGTAATGGACATTTAACAGTTTACTTTATTCTTGTTGTTTGTGTCATTCATGAATGATTCCAGTCATATTGATGTTTTTATTGTCGCTTAAAACTATCATATTGATGTTTTTTATTGTCTCTTACAACTATTTATTTATTGGAAAAAAAAAACTGATTTCTTGACGGAGAAAAAAGTAATTGTATGTTAGAGAGATAAAACATTGTTTTTTTTGACACCTGTACTGTTAATGTTTTGATGATTTAGTTGTTTTTATTCTTGTTTTTGAAAGAAAAAGAAAATATGATGTAATTAATTTCAGCTTTTATGCATGTCTTTTTTGTAAACTTTTTGAAAGAAAAATTTTATGATTATATATTATTTCCATTATCATTAAATCTGATGATAAATATACATTCACATTATTTTCGGCGATCTAAACCTGTTTATATTGTAACATTTGATATACTTTATGTAAAGTATATACGACATTACGAGAATTTGCATATGCAAAAAGGCAATTCTACATTGTGATTCATTTGCATAATTTGCGCTAGTTACAGTGTCTGTCTGCAACAATTTAGAATTTGTTTTTTATTTTAATGGAACCTTCTCGTTATTTCTGTTGTTCTTTTCCAATGAACTGAACAAATATAAAATGACCATGTTACATAATAAAGTTAGTAGAAAATTATGTACAGGTATGATGTTTGAATGGTTCACTTTAGTTTACTTATTAAAAATCGGAGACTGTGGGTGACTTTTAGGCAGTTTATATGTTTGGGTAAGGTGCCGTCAATAGCAAATTATTTGACCAGCACCTAAATGCTCTCTTTCAAGCACGTGACAGCTCTTATTTAATACAAAGTAACATGAACAGAAACTAGTCGGTTGAAATACAACTACGTGTTTTTGTCTAACAATTTGACTGAATAAATCCTGAGAAATCTGAAATTACTCTTTATATCAATCGCATAAATAAATATTAAATATAACGTTAACAAACAATAATGTTAAATATCAAATATTAAAATACCCCCCCCCCCCCCCACTGAATTGCTGATATCATACAAGAATCAAAGCATAGTAAAGAAACAGAAGTAGAACGGTTATACAGAATATTTATCTATGTGTTCGAAGCTGTTACATGAAATATATTTTTCTCCTGGTTTGTCATGTTTATATGTAATGTACTATACAGTTGCAAACGTCTAGCTTTAGTTTATAATTTATACTAGATCTAGTTGCTGTAAACAAATGTTTCTGCGTTATGATGATACATGTATTATTGAAAATGCTATATTCTAACACGACCCGCATTTTTCCCCATTGGACTTAGAAGAAACCGAAATTGTGCGTTCTTATGCAATAAAATCACAGTTTTGACGTTCTATATTTAGACATGTAACGTATACATTATACACGTGACGTAACCACTAAAAATGTGACGTGCTGAAAATAAGTACGGAAACAAATCAGGGGCAATTTAGGTTAATATCAGGTACGACAGCATTTATTTGCGGATGTCGTGTTAGAATTAAAAATAAAAGAAAATCAGTGATTTTATCGCTTGTTAAAATCACTGTTTGTCGTTCGGATGCGCATCATTATATCACTCGGGCTACGCGCTCGTGATATACTTCTTCGAATCAGAAATCCAAACAGTTGATAAAATCACTGTTTGGGATATGATATTTCTTAATTATTCCACTGTTAACTGTCGTTAACTTGGGTTTCTCGTGATGCTATTTTTGTATTATTTAGACAGGATTTAGTAGTATATAGAGCGTAAATGCATTGAGAAAAAAAAAAACATTGTGAAAGACTATTCGAATAATTATTTAAAGAAGTATTAATTAACAGAGGTCTTGCTATAATGCATGTATAATCTATCAAAGAGGGTTCAGAGAGAGTTTGAAAAGTGTGCATATTTCATTAAGTCAGTGAAGTTATCTCTAAATACAAACAACACTACAATTATGCCCATGTAAGTAATAGAAAGAGCACCGAAACACGAGACTATCTGGTTTGTACGAGGGGGCGTAGCCCCCGAGTATAAATCAGATTGCCGAGTGTTTTGGTGTTTTTTCTCTTTTGTATCATAGTCAAACATAAAAGCACGTTCCCTGTTGTGACAATATGAAACCCCGGCAAAAATGAACCAATGAACGAACATCTGAATATGACATTTCTGTCGCTTTCCCTTTCTTTGCCGTCACAATATGTAAACCCCAGCAAAAATGAGCCAATCAATGGGCATGCTCTGGAGTGCGGGTAACTAATACCCGCACTCCAGTTAACGCACTGTGCATGTATATGTATACGATTTAACCCTGACACGTTTTCAACAGAAAGGTCTCCGAACTATGATACAAATGATATGTACAGTATTGTATAATTGCATACATTGAAAAATATTATCAGGAACAAAGGATACGCCACAGTTCTTGAACACAAGTTTAATTTATTATGTAATGCTGTACCATTCCATTGAACCAAAACTTGAAAACAGAATTACATTGGTAGTGACATTACAAAATGTTACAAAATGATTAAAAGCTTTATATTTCCCTTTTTAATTTAATTACCCACCATTTCAAAATCGTATGTATAGAGTGAGTGAATAGCGTTTAAACAAACGAGTGGCGTTCATTCCCCTTGCCCTTCATACTGAGACGACGATATATAATGACATATCAATATGTATATTTACTAAACGTCGATACTTAATTTATACTAGTGTATCCATATCAGATGTCGTTACGTTGCTAAATTAATATCACATATTACAATATAATTTTTGTCAAGATGTTTTTAATAAACTATTAATGTCATAGGCATCAAAAAAAGACTAGAAACGTGATCTCGACTACAAAATAAGTAACAGAATGGCGAGCAAGAGCAAAATAACCTATATATAGGTAATTATTTATCAAATTCAATAACACAAATTTGAATTAATCCAATCAGAAGTCTAAAAAGTAAACCGTAGACCAACGAGATAAGCTGATATAACCAGAGGTCAACTTGATTCAATAAAAACTTTATAATTCACAAGAATTAATCGATTTTAACAGGTGTATTAAAATACTCTAAATTTAATATCGTAAATTTAAATCGTAATTTATCGTAATCTAAATTTGAATATATTCAAGTATCAAAAGGATTAATATACCTTAACTTTTAACAAAATAACTATGGATAAGGTGAATATTAAAATTAATTAATCAATGTACATGAATTTATTGTTCGGTCAGTCGTATACTGATGATGCCGTAAATAATGTACAGTTTCTGTAACCATGGAGCTTAATATGTACAGTCAAATATATTTAGCTCCATGGTCAAAGTATTAAACATTTTACCTGCATCGATATAGAACATTGTGGCACAGTGGTCAATTTGTTAGTTTGAATAACATCATGACTATTTGGTTTCCTTTTTCCGTATTTTTTGTATATCCTTTGAAGTTCAATTTAACATTCTCTTTTATGTATTTTGAAATATTATGGAAAAGGAGGAAAGTAATAATAAAAAAATGTTTATCAAACTACAACCTCTTTAATGCAACTTCAAAGACTTATCAATTAAGCTACCGATGGAAAGAAATAATTAATGTTGCGCTAGGTTAATTGATTTAATTTCTGTAATTCCACGAACGGTTTATATCTTTTCAAAACTTTTCGTCAAAATTCGGTAATATTCGCCATCAACCAAAAAAACAACAACAACAACATTGGAGCATGCACAAAAGACTCTTTTACTGATATGTTCGGTGTTGTTCGGTAGACGGCTTTGTACCCTCGATCCTTCCGTGCAAATAATAAATTGCGATGAATCTTTATTTAGAATATCCGTCGGGTCCGTACCATATTACTGCCGTAACCATTGCGATGAAAATAAGTAAACATACCGTTATGGCTGAAAAGGTCAACGAACCCCAAACCAATCACGCCAATGCTTCTACGAAAATAACAACATTGGCACGACGACCGTGCGTTTATATATATTTCGTACCGTGTATTCCGCGACTGCTTAGCAACATTATCGTTCGCCAAATGTTCAAATGGGGTTTTCACATGTGACCCCTTGTCACACCATGCCGAAAATCCATTGAATTTGAAACGATTTAATTTCGATGTATTCCTGACAGGTTCTTTCCACGAAATGGTTTTGTGTTTTGAGAAAAATGTTGATACTCGTTATCACAAAAATATATGTTGAGCATGCATAAAAGATTTTGACAGATTCAGCGATCTGATATGTTCGGTGAAGGTTCTCAGACGGTTCAGTAGGTGTAGAATCAACCTCCGGTCCTTACGTATCGATATCGGTAATAAATTGTGACGATTTTTTGTCGTGTCCGTACCGAATTAATACCGTTACTAGTACGTTATTATACCGCTATGGTCGAACAGGTTAACGAACCGTTAATGAATCAAGCAAATGCTAGTGTGAAAATGACAGCTTTTCCACGATGGCTGGGCGTTAATAAAGATCAGAAACATTCGCCCGCAACGTTCAAATGGGGTTGTCATATATGAACTTCATGTATGTGTTTCGGGAGATGGCTTCATACTTCTTGCAGATGTTGAGCTGTACTAATCGACAATTTTCGGTATTATACTTTGAAAATTAATGAACGAAATCAGCAGCTTATTATAACCTTCCAACAGCGAAATGGATTGTTTCCAAAAATTCAAAACACTGAGTCTGCTCTTTATGTGTATGCAACCAGAAATATTTGATGAATTATTGCAAAGGGTGGGGAAAAATGACTTAACAACACACATTCTACGAAGCTCCCCTAGATCTTAGTTACTTGGCTTCTGGCAACAGTTATGCACACATAATACAATTTCAGGAGAAGTAAGAAAAGTGTATCAAACTATCAAAGGTGAATACCTAGATGAGGTTATGATTTGCAGCAACATTCGGGGTGATAAGCATGGTTTAAAACGAAATGGAACTTTCCGCACACCTGAAACACTTAAAAACATGCATTTTAATATTTTAACTACAAAGGATTTCACTTTTTGGTGTTGCTGACCTCACTGAGAACCTGTCTCCTTGCCGGGTGCCTGGAGATAATGTCAAAACCTACGGTCCACGTGTCAGGACCAAACCTCGCTACAAAGTACAAAAACTGCGCCTGCGAGTAAACTCAGACGTAGGGGATATGCAATGGCAAAAAAAACATAGACAATGCTTACACTTAACTGAACTAAAATTCGATCTGTTGAATGCTGTTTGAATTTTAATAGTGATTCAAATTGGATAATTGGTAAAAGTCTCAGATATGCAACGATTGTCATTGAAATATTTTTTTTTTGGTCGCGTTTTCAAATAAAATTGTGATTGACTGATCACAAAATGAAAGAAAGAAAAAAACAACAGAAAATATCATTTGCTAGGAAAGTGAATTTTATAAACATTGAAAAACATCATTGAAGGCCTTCAGACAAATCGTTTTGTATACCTTCGATAAATTTATTTTTATTTGCTTTTAGTTAATTTAATTGCAGTTTGTGAAATCTTATTCACCGAAAGGTTTCGGTAATAGTCGGGATATTTGGTCTAATGCAAGTGATTCTTTGGGTTGGGCAGGCAGGTCGGTACAATCAGTGAGGCTACGTAGCGCACTTTTAAAAGACATAACTCAAACGACAGGAGCTCAAAGTGGTTTCGGAAAAATATAGGCTCATTTCTGAGTAAGAATGTTGACTATTCGATATATCCGCTGCAAGTTCGTTTTGTATATGGTAAATGATCGGTGCTAAAACGTTCAAAACAGCACATTATCTACAGAGCTCCCATTGGACCATGTTTGAATGCATCACCTGGCACCCGGCAACAGTTATGCTTCCATGAAATATGCATGGCGAGAGCCACATAATACATTTTCAGAAGTAGTAAGGGAAGTGTGTCAATCAGCACTGAATTCAAGAAAGCAGATAATTTCTCAGCAAATCGTTGCAATCTGATACGCAGGAGTTTTTTTTTTGTTGTTGTTGTTTTTTTGGACATTCGGGATATTTGGTCTAATGTCGAAAACGATTCACTGGTCGTTAAACTTACGGTATATACGTTGTGGTTAGGTAGCCGAAACTCAATAGGTAGGGGCTTGTCGAGGTTTCGGTACGAAACTAGGCATATTTCTAAGAAAGAAAGTCGGTTCAAATTCTTAATGTGTTCGGTGCAAAATCGTTCAACCAGAATTCACTAAATAAAAGGGCTGCGAAGTTCATTCTGGATTTTAGGTATTAATTCGGTATGAATTTCGGTAAAATTGGCAGGGGGTACACAAGTTTCAATGTTAACAAGTTAACGTCTACTATTCTACTCATTTTTATCATTGCTGAAAGAAGAGATAAACCATAATAAGTGATTGCACGAAGTATCTCGATTTACTTAAAGAAAGACAAACCAACAATCTGTTAGAAAAACAGTCACAGGTAATATACAAAATCAGCCTTGAAAATGGTTCCCTATTACAGTTGAATATCCGAAGCACTAATCAATTTTTCTTGGTATATGCTCGTTGTTTAATAAGTTGCATATTTTTGTGAAAAAGAAGAACCTAATGCATGAATTCACAAAGTAATGCCATGTCTGAAATTTTGAATAAAGATGGCGACAGCACCTATGACAATACGTAACTTTAATTACTTTAATATGTAGCAGGAGAGGGCTACCCCCGAGGCGACAGGTTGCAAAGCTACCACAACCTGGCTTGGCAAGTTTCTCTCCTTTTTATGCTACTTATATATGTAGAGCTGAAGCATGGACCCACTTCGTTTTCCCTGTACTCTGGACTTTTCTATAAGAAATAAACAAAACACCAAATTTATGTATCAAGTTTTAAGTTATTGAACCAAGTAAATACCAGACTCTAACAATAAATTCTTACTTTCTTAAATGGTAGTCACCAGATTTAAATCAAAGACCTTTTAATACGTAATAATTATAGTAAGAGGAGTGATTTATATTCACTTTTAATAAAAGATTACTAAATAAATATAGATGGAAGATGGGACGGTAGCATTACTTTGTAACCTTTGCTACCAAATATGCGGTGGTGGTGTTGGTAGATTTCACTCCGGATCACGGCAGTAAGCCGTATTGAATTTACAAAAGCACAGTTCAGCCACCGCATCGTTCTGGGCAAGCTGTCAAGCAGTTTACCAGTACTAGTTGCCTTCACTTTCGCAAGGAACTGAAACTTCTGTACATACCAGAGTAGAGGTAAAGTGCGAATGACCGTAGAATATAGTTCATGATCAGTAACAACGACCTGTTGAACATCAGAAAAGCTATTTTTATCAGAGAATCTGAAAACAGTGTAATTTTGTTAAAACAAAAAAAAAAATAAACAAAAGCAAGACTAAAATTTTCCCCATTGCTGAATGGACGAATGTATATCTACTTATATCTACTACATGTACTAATATCTGAAACTAGTAGTGTACTTTCTTAAAATATTATAATTTTTATGATTAACAAGACAGCAATTTATTTAACTACATTGTATAGAAAATTGGAATTTAAGAATATTATTTCTGTAATATACATATTTATTATTCTAATACATATATTATTTTTACTCACATCACTAAGCATTTATGAGCAATACTATTTCACAGTAAAATGAAGACTCCTACTGAAAAAAATATGAATTTCATATATTTGATTTAAACAAAGCATTAGAATAAATGGCATTTTCACCGATTTTTTTGCCGATAGTAAAAAAATTGACGGTTTATGCTGAGAATTGTGTAAGGCATGATATCATCTGACAAATTTACTACATAAAATCATAATTCTATGTTGACACATCTACTGATAGATTAAACTCTAATTACAATTGATGTTCCCGTCTGAAAGCTAATACTGAGATCAAACACAAAAACAACAACCTCACTGTGAATCAATTCCCATCTTAATATAGAATTTTTTTTTTTTATAGAAAGTTTATCTATTCGATAAAAATACAACGTACGATAGTTAAGATGAGAAATGACGATAAAGGCTAAAATTTTGCAGAATTTATAAAGTTTCATGTAGACTAAACAAAGGTGTAAATGAAGCAAAGATTCTCGAAGGCGGCGTTGAATTTCTAATGTTGTCACCACAATAACAAACGGGCATGCGTAATTTCTAATGTTGTCATCACAATAGCACGCGGGCATGCGTAATTTCTAATGTTGTCACCACAATAGTATACGGGCAGCGTAATCATTTAAGACAGGAATCAGACTGGATCGAAGCAACGAAGTCTTTTTTCAGATTTTTATTTGTACTTTTGAGTTTTCATATCATCTTCACATCAGTGCCTACAGGCTTTACATATATTTCATTGTTTGTTTGTTGTTGTTGCTGTTTTTTGTTGTTGTTGTTTTTGCTTTCTTTGTTGTTGGATTTTTTTTAAGTTTCTTATGTTGCTACCTGCTTGCTGTTGATACACTTAATCTCAAATGAAGATGTTCTGGGTTAAGACAAATCTTTTTTTTTCAAAATGTTTCACACAGCTAGTCTAGTTGTCATATTCTTTAACACGTTAAAGTCATACATAATGCTATATTTGTGTTATATTAAACAACTACATCAGATGTATATAAATACATATAATACACCCAGTATGTAATATTGAAAAACAGAAACACTACAGGAAATATAACTCGAGAGACTTTGTCCACAAGTCGTGCTCGTCCTATGTAGGAGAGATGTTGTACCTTAAAGCACGTAAATAGAAATATGTGTCGGTCCAAGGTGTAATTCTGAAATGTAAATAACATTTAGTTCATAATGATTGTCTCAGTGTCAAAACATTTGGTGTAATTCGCAAGAAAACTCCGGAAACACGCCTGTTTTATTACATGTACATGCATGACTTGGTACTGAGATTACCACTTAATATTGTACAAGTGAACAAGTTTGTTACATTTGGCATGTTCTTACTAATTGATATCATCTTATTTTGTTCAAGTACTTTTTAACTTAATAATATGTAACAGTTATTTCTGGAAATGAAGTTTTTTTCTTTTGGTTCTTAGTACTAAAAGTAACATTTTCATCTAGAATTAGTAGGCAAAGATTTGTAAATGATATACATCATGAGTAGTTTGGTGTATCTTTCCGTGGCTTGATTTTCCATTCGCTTTACCATCACTCGGGTTTCGTCTGGTCTCTACCCTTACCAGAACATTCACATATGCGAATTCAATGAGACTCAAAAACACAAATGTAATGCAGGCTGCCATGTAAACATCTATTGCCTGCAGTAAATTAATAAACATGGTTATGCATGTCAGTAAACAGGAATTTGTAATAACATTGTAGATCATCAATTGTGTTGGTGAATATTTCTAGATTTATATTTTAACAATACTGATATAATAAAGGAAAATTATGTAAATGTTAAAACCTTCATAAGTACAAGTATAATCACAATACAATGTAGTTAATATTTGAAAAGGCGTAAATGGTTGTTACTTCGTGATATTCAATTAGACTCTTAAATAAGATTAAATTAGTATTCAAAGTTTAAACTAGTAAAATGTAATGATTTTTGAGAAAGGTACTGTTTTGTGACAATTTTTAATATCTTCATCTTGATCCAGTGTAATGTAAAGATTTTTTAAACTGTATCAACGAAAGTTATGTCTAGGAACAAAATAAAGATTCTAGAAATGAATAGCCCGGTGTTTGTATGTGCCAATGAACATAACAAAAAACGGACACCGCCAGAAATGGCCTGCTCGTTGTCAGATGAGGCCTATGAACAAAATTAAGTCAACTGTGATATCTTTCTGTGACATTTTGAGAACATATATTTGATTTAAAACTTGGTAATATTTTTTTCTCTTATACTTGCTGTTGAGACTTAAGTCAATTCATCTGTATTGATAAATCATAGTGTAACTGCAGCCAAATCCGCCGACAAACGGGAGAAAATTAAGCACAAGATGGCCATTATATTGTTAACCTGACTATAGAGGCTCTACATGACAAGGAACAAAAAGTATTAGTCACTATAAAGAGCAGGTATTGCTACATAATCTAGGTCAGTTGATATTCGTATTGTTGGTATTTTTTTTAACAAGAGCAGCCAAAGATTGATATGGAAGTCACTGGTAGCTGCTTATCAAAAGTCAACGGTTACTTTGGAAGTCACTGGTTGCTATGGAAAGTCAATGTTAGTATGAAAGTCACTGGTGATGTCATTTTAATCTCTGTGAAAGACGGACGGAGGACAGACAGCCATTAATCTTAAAAGCTCGTCATAATATAAATGGTAAGGTGAACTAAAAACATAAGCATGACAAATAAGAAAGCTAAATAACTAAAAAATCATGAACAGTAGAGTTATTATAATTGTGCACTGCAGTCTTATTATATCGAGATACATCCACCTATGAAGTTGTAAGTTAATATGTGCAATACCTAAAAAATTAGTAAACTAAAGCGTGGTACGGAATCAATAATCACAGTAATTTATATACAGATGACAATATATACTGGTGAATACCTTAGAGAATTATAACATAAGAAGGTATCATCAAATGGTTTAGTAAAATTAACATGAAAGCTTATCAATAATCAAGACATTGCCCTTGAGAAAAAAAATAAATGACTTAATATATATTGTAATTTTGATGGTATAAATATTAATTGTAATTAAGAAGTAAAATTACTTAAACATATTTTTCTATCTATGTTGAAGTAACATGTAACAAATATTTATTAAAAAAAGTAAAAATAACTATACAATTAAATGAACTGGCAAAAATTTTAACGTGTCAAATCTCAAGTCGGCACTTCACACTTCTAACACAAAGATTTAAAAAGAAAACAAAACAAAATTCAGGTACTGGACATTACGTTTTATATACGAAAATCCTTTAAGCTTATAAACTTATGCGTTTTGTGTTGCCTTAGAAACTTTTAATATTTTACGGTTGCCTGTATGCATAGATAGGGGTGCTGATTTTTGTAGTTGTTTTTCCTTCTTTTTTTGCTTGTTTGCTATAACTATTTGTTAGTTTAGCTGTTTTCATAACTTTTCTTTAACTTTTTCATAAAGCTTTTCTTATCTCATTTGTTTGATCTCTTTTATTTGTTGCAAGTGACATCAAAGTAAATTTTTATATCTTAAAAGTATTTATAACAAAGTTTTGGATTCATATTTGTTTGAGTCGCCAAACCAAACAAATAATGGTAACGAAATTTCAGACCCTGATATGCTTATTTGCAAAATCCGAAAGTAGTCCATCACGAAATCCTCGAAGTCACTTCTTTAAGTACACTTACGCCGAAAAATTGGTTTAAACATATTTTTATGCAAGGTAATATATGCATGTTAATAATTTACAATTTAAGCAGACAGGAATTGAATAACGCCAAAAAATTAAGGGGAGATCACTGCGTTAAGATTGTCAAATGACAGGCGCATTAGTTTTCAAACATCTGAGGGAAGAAAAAATAGTTCCCGATTGATCGAAGATTTCTAATATTGTTTAACTCTTTAGCATTTCTGCGAATTATCGGTAATACATTCAAATATTTTTGTTACGCGGATGAATATCATTTTAATTAATGAAATTGCTCGGTTTTTTCCGTAACGCTTCGGATTATTGTGATCGCTTAATGAACATTTGTTATTTAGACTTTCTGAAAAATAAATAAAGATGTTGACTCTAGGACAGGAACACGACTATTTTCATCTGTGTTAAAAAGATTTACCGTGAGCAAAATATCTCGAAATTAATAATGATTACAAACCCTAATTTAGAGTAATATGGTTTGCTTCAGGCTGATATCCTATAACTTCCCCGTGGTGCAGGGGTTCCACGCTCGTTTAAGAAGCGAGAGGTCTGGGTTTCGAATCCAAGATAAAGTAACACTTTTTTATTTTTAATTTTAAATTGTTTAAGCCAAATAAACATTGAATTCAATATCAGTGTTGCAATTAGCCTTATTTCCAATTTACTACAGTTGTAACACTGGAAACAGCATTGCTGACACTATACAAAAACAAATTGGCTTATAATCTCACAACCTACACCTTTCTGACATTCTGAGACCCAAACAAACTCAGCGCCTTCTGTGCTTTGATTATGTAGTTTTACTACTTTAAGTTTCGATAACCATATTTGCCATAATTTGATGTTATTTGATCATGTTTTGCGTTATTACCTGCATATGCTATTTTGTTGTTTTTATGAAATGAAGTTCATAAGCCGGCTAAAAAAATTCTTCAGAGTTTGTGTTATCATGTTTATATAACTGACTTTATAAAACAAATATTGCTTGACTTAAGTTGACTCGGTAGACGAAAAGAAGGACTGAGGCTGTAACCGCCTTTCAACTGGGAATAATGATAACAGTAATTTTCCTACAACTGCTTCAAGTGAAAGAAAATATATTTTGTATCAAAAATCAAGTAAAAACCTTTATATATGATACACGTGGGAGATTTGAACGAGCACTGGCACTTTGTGTAGTCATAGTAAGAACAGTTAACAGTCCAAGAGAAATTCGTGCAGGAGTAGCATCTAGATCCAGCCAGAAGTTTACCCAAGATAACAACACAGTAAGCATACTGGGTATATATATCTGTACTACATGATACTCAAAATTACGTTCCAATTCAAACTGCACTCCAATACATGTGAATGCAACTGAAAATAAATACATGAAACATTTGTTAAGTTTAACTTACAAGGTTAAGCACTCAAATTCAAATGGCGATTTTTTGTATTTAAAAAGAAGTAAAACTACCTTTAGAAATGTCGCTATTTGACATTTATTATGTAATTAAAAAGATCATGTAATTAAACGTCTAGTGTTAAACTATATCAAAATAGTGTTGTGTTTTTATCACAAATTCATTACAAAAACAACTTTATATTCCTACTGCCAAAATAACTCTTCTCACAATCGTATGGAGTTATTTCAGTTAAAGAAAATTGGGGGAACTGTATATCCTTTGCTAACACCACAGGGTTTTCACTCCAAAAGAATTTCACAATATCTGTAGTCTGACCATCTGCAACAATATGAAAATTATTTTTTTATACCAAATCTATTCTAAATAAAATAACGTCGTTATTGGTATAAATGACAAAAAGTTAATACTGCATTTTATTTTAGATTTTTCTTAAGTTTATTAAGTTTACGTGTCTCACAGAAATTTAAACAATATAAAACATGAACTATTTCAGAGAAGTTCACTCTTCCAATATTTCAACAGGCCTTTTGTTTCTCTATGAAGTCCTTATTTAAGTGATTTTATCTACTTACACGTTTCGACCTCAAAATTGCAAGATTGTCGATCAAAAGGGTACCTTTTAAGTTGCATTATACACGAAAAAGTGCCCGTCACTCTGAAGAAATAAATTGTTGATGATTCTATACTTTATGATATGTGGAATTATATCCTTGTACAGCGAGTATCAGATCGATAAGATGTTATAAATAAACGTTTGTCGTCTTCACACGTGTTTGTACCCTTGTCGTAATGTAAAATATGTTTTTGGAAGAAAAATGCAGGGCTGTTTTAACACAGAAATAGATTGATGTATTTTCATATTGAATTGTGAGAAATTTAGAAAAAAAATCAAGGAACTAAACTTTATAACAAAATAACTGAATTTAACTCGGTAAAAATATTGAAACAGAGCACAAACATAGCATTCACCTGATTGAGGGATTAACAACGATAACATCCCTGACATAAATTACCTTCTGTACGAAATAAAAGGCATTGTCCACAAACATTTCACAAAGGTAAAAAGGAAAGGATCAAATTCAAAGAATGTATTACAAATACTTTATCTGTATAGTGTTAACTCATGAAATGATTTGCACATAATTACAAAGATTTTTTTTATTGTCGACGACTATTGCAACACAATATCATGCATCACAAATTCAATAAAATAGAAAAACTATCAAAACCCTCGGGGTGTAGAGAAACAGTTCCAAACGGAAAAAATGAATCTGAAACTATACTCGTTTATAGATCAAGTCATTTGTTTATAATCAGACATACTCAATCAGTTTTACTAGCAATGTGCAAATGGCAATAAAAAGAATATATAATACTGTACACAAATTAATTACCTTGCACTTAATTGTACAGTCCCATCTGGATAAATATGCAACAGCTTGTTTGGTACCATAACCTCGTGGAAGTCCGACTCCTTTTCGTTTAATATAAACATATCCGGTAACCATAATGTTTCAAAGAAGGAAAGATCGAGAACCAGTCTTGTCAAGTTAAGACTGGTGTCAAATTTCAGGCGGTCATCAATCCAACGTTCACGGAGAAACAAACTCATAGAGTAATCCTAGAATATATTTACATGACTAGAGTTTCTATCGCCAGGTAATATAAAATATATCAATATATGATAGAAATTGAGAACACAACCATATCTAATATCTATTTGTATAATATAAACGGAATCTTATATGATTGATACAAAAGTTATGTGTAGCACAATATTCAAGGAAAATGTTTGATAAAAGTTGGATTATACATGAAGTTAACTTGATTAAAGTGGTTTGTATCATTCGTAGTGGTATATAATTGCAACGATTTTGTTTGTTTATAACTTAACTTACCATATTCATCTCACTTATGGAAAACATAGATTTAATAAACATTTCAACATGCACTTTTACTTGTGTATCAACGTCACCTGAAAATATATCAAATGTATGTTGAATTTCAAATGTATTGTAAATACTTTAGTTTTCTCTTGACATTTAAGTTAATCATCATTAATCTTGCGCTTACATCTAATATATTGTCAGTGTGTCAGCATATATATTAATATTTACCATTTAATACAGTTTATACGTTGATTTATATGTAATCATAATATGATAATAAGCTTACATGGCTTTTTGTACTTTTTCAATAAAGTTATAGTTTTTGTTTATCTAATGAATATGAAAATAAAACGTGAGTGGAAAAATGTATGTTATAAGAATGTACGAAATTACTCATGGTTCATGTACAAACAAAATAAATTGATATAACAGATATATGTTTACTGTATGTGTAAATTAGATATTTCAATTGTTTCACAAGTATACGAGGTTTGTCCAAAAGTTCGCATCATTATTTTATAAAATAAAAAGAAATAGTCATAGCGATTTCAAAACTATAAATGTTTACACACATCTTTAAACTCAATACAGTATATTCCCTCTTATTAGGGCTGAGTATTGCAACTAAAAATAATATTGCGATATATTGCGATATTTGCAGACATATTGCAATACATTGCAATATAGTATGAAATAATTAAAATGCTTGAAAAGCAAGGGTAAAACCTATAGAACCTTGAGTTTATAAACATATCCCAAAGAACTGTACACGAGGGGCAATTTTGTTAAAAATTGCGCACTGTGTTTAAAACCCTTTGAAGATAAGTAATGTACAAATTGAGAACACGTTTAGTTTTAATATAACTTTATGTCTTATATTACAACTTCATAGCTTCAATTTCTTGCGATATCGGAAAACATTTTGCATATAATATTGACAGTTTAAATATTGCGTTATCCACTATTTTCCGAGGTATTATTATACACCCTATCACTTAACATGGAAGATTGCATGCATTTACGATATGAGCCATTTGAACCGTTATATCACCGTCAAACCATTTTATAGTACTAATGAAAGTTTATATACCAAAAAAAATGCGGTTATGCCATGCAAAAATAAAAATGTTGATGATGATGAAGACGATATGCCAAACAAAAATGATGATGGTAATAATGATGATGATAATAATTACAATGATGATGATGATGATGGTGATGATGATGGTGATGATGATGATGATGATGGTGATGATGATGATGGTGATGATGATGGTGATGATGATGATGGTGATTGATGGTGATGATGATGGTGATTGATGGTGATGATGATGATGGTGATGATGATGATGATGATGATGATGATGATGATGATGATGATGATGATGATGATGATGATGATGATGATGATGATGATGGTGGTGATGATGATGATGATGATGGTGATGATGGTGATGATGATGATGATGGTGATTGATGGTGATGATGATGGTGATTGATGGTGATGGTGATGATGGTGATGATGATGATAATGATGATGATGATGATGGTGATGATGATGATGATGGTCATGATGATGATGATAATAATTACAATGATGATGATGATGATGATGATGATGATAATGATGATGATGATGATGATGATGATGGTGATGATGGTGGTGATGATGATGATGGTGATTGATGATGATGATGGGGGGGAGGAGGAGGAGGAGGAGGATATTTCTATTTAATACACGAATGCTTCACATTACTTATTTAAATTTTAGACATGTCCTTGGTAAACTTGACGAGTTACGATACCATTTAAGGCACAATAAATGCATTATGCGAAACATTTGTGACAGAAGAAATAATCGATGTATTAGCATAAGTTATTTTAGTAGTGAAAGGAAAGACAAAAATGGTAAAATGAGCGGTGGAATATTAAGCGTGGTGGTGATTTCGAACACACATAGATCTAAAAATACAGTTCCAGCATAATTACCAGAATCTAATAAATGTCATGTAATGGACGATGTTATTGTCATACTGGAATTCTTATTTAATAAAAACTTGAAATAACCTAGCCCCTTCTTATATATCTGAAATTTTGAAAGTTTGTAGGTTATTGATTGTACGTCGAAAAAGAGCAGAAAATTACCGAAATATTGATGTGCGCCAGTAGACATAATATTATTTTTTGTAAAAGAACCTTAAATAATACTAGTACATGTACTTATAACGTAATTCCCATGAAATTTATTAAAATGATATTTTGGTAGTTAATATGTATGTTTTCTCGAATAGTGCGTTATATTTTTCATGATGTAACTCTAAGCGAACTTTAGGTATAACCGTTGTGCATATAAATACAAAATACCTGTGTTTTGGTTAGGAGGTATTTTCTTGTCGTACCCATCAAATATCCTGCCAAGTAATGTAGACCTATAAATTCAAGAAGATAGAGAAATAATCTTGAAGTCGCAAACATTGTTGTAATAGTTTCCTAACTGTAAACTTAACATGTTTCTGTTAACAAAGTTTAATTCTGTTTTAAAGGCAAACATGATGTAAATACATGTTTAATAGAATTAAAATATGAATTGTTATTATATGAGATAAGAGATAAAGCATTGAGACAATGTTAATATAATACACCTGATTACTTACATTGTTTCATTTTGGGTTTGTCCACGACATACACTTATAATCGTACATGTTATAAGAAACGATGTGAACACACTGTGAACTGTCAATGCCATTTTCTATGAAAATGAAATATCAATAACTTATTATTAGAAATATATATACATCTTTGCCAAAATCGTTTTTGGTGTGTGGATGTGTATGCATGGTGTGTGTGTGCGCGCGCACGCGCGCGCGCGCTCGTGCCTGTATGTGTGTGGGCGCGCGCGGGTGTGTGCTCGTGTGTGTATCTTTGTGCTATCAATTATGTTAAACTAATAAATTCTTGTATACTGGTATTAAGTTTCATCTGTTCAAGCTAACACACTCTTTTTAAAGTTATATAATTAGTTTAAAAGATTTCAACTTGCAATGGTATAAGATATTCTGGAAAATATAGCAAGGACCCACGGAAGAACTAACTCCCATTCGAGATAAATTACGGCTCTTTATACATGATCCATGTATTTTATAGTATATATCCACGTTTCAAGCAGACGTAAATTGATTTACAAACATATCTACGCATTACTCCAGATGAAAACAGTAACGATCAATAACGATTAACAAGAATTTTCAAATTAATTAGAACTTCAAATTTTTGCATTACTTTTTAAAATAAAATTTCTAAACTATTCATATATGCCTTGATTTAGATCCGAATGTCAATGAAATTGTTTGATATCATGATAGTTTATGCAACGATTATAAGGAGTTTCACCATATGACTTTGGCATTGCCGAGAATTTGTCAAACCACAAGAAAAGGAAGAAAAATACATTAATTAAACACCTTCGTAACTTTCATCTCATTAATTTCACACCACATCCAAAGACTACACGGTAGCTTCTATTTAAGATATCGACTAATTAATATTACATTGTAATTCTAAAATGAACTAGAACTCCGCGAGTCGGATGTGTCGCCTTGTGAACAATATAGTTTAGGAGAAATGGCCAGGACAAAAATGAAATATGAAAACTAACAAAGGGCAATAACTCAAAATATAATAAGTGCAGAGAAGCAGTTTCTGTGCACTGCACTTCTTATCAATAAGATCTATCATTCTATGAAGTTTCAAGTCCATATTTTTTATAATTTATGAGAAAAAGCCTGGACAAAATAAAGTATGAAAATTAATAAAGGGTGATAACTCACAAATAAGAAGTGCAGAGTACCGGTTCTTGTACACTGCACTTTTTAGCTCGACTATTCGAAGAATATGAGAGCTATTGTAGTCGCCCCGGCGTCGGCGTCGGCGTCAGCGTCCGCGTCGGCGTCTGCGTTGGTTAAAGTTTTTTGTAAAGTCAACTATCTCAATTATTGCTGGAGATATTCAATTGAAACTTACAATACTTATTTATAGTAACAAGGTACATCAGATTGACAAGTTGGATAACTCTGCCTACAATATTGACAGAATTATGCCCCTTTTTAACTAAGAAATTTTGGTTAAAGTTTTTTGTAAAGTCAAATATCTCAATTATTTCTTGAGATATTCAATTGAAACTTACAATACTTATTTATAGTAACAAGGTACATCAGATTGACAAGTTGGATAACTCTGCCTACAATATTGACAGAATTATGCCCCTTTTTAACTTAGAAATTTTGGTTAAAGTTTTTTGTAAAGTCAAATATCTCAATTATTGCTTGAGATATTCAATTGAAACTTACAATACTTATTTATAGTAACAAGGTTCATCAGATTGACAAGTTGGATAACTCTGCCTACAATATTGACAGAATTATGCCCCTTTTTAACTTAGAAATTTTGGTTAAAGTTTTTATGTAAAGTCAAATATCTCAATTATTGCTTGAGATATTCAATTGAAATTTAAAATACTTTTTTATAGTAACAATGTACATCAGTTTGCAAAATTGAATAACTCTGCCTGCAATATTTGCAGAACTATTTGCCCCTTAAATTTGAAACTTAGAAAATTTTGGTTAAAGGTTAAAGGTCTTCAAAGATATTTACTTGAAACTTTACACATGTACTTAGGGTCATAATTTGAGGGTCATAATTGTATGTCACTGACCAAGTTCCATAACTCTATCCTGCATTAAGGCTGATTCATATCCCCTTTTCTTCTTAGTCTCTTGGTTAATGTTTACATGCAAGTTTACATATCTCAATAACTATTAAAGATATTTATTTAAAACTTCACATATGCATTTAGGGTCATAATTGTAGGTCACTGACAAAGATCCATAATTCCATCTTGCATTTAGGCTGATTTTTCTCCCCTTTTTCAACTTAGAAATTCATGGTAAAGTTTTGCTTGTAAGCTGTTATCTCTATAATTACTGAAGGGTTTGTGCCTTTTTTGGGACAATTATATGCATTCATAATAATAAAGCAGTGATTTACTTGATAAAACATCTTAATAACAAGCCTTTGTACCTTTTCTGTCAATTTTATGTATTCATAGGTACATGTAATTAGTATTATTATACTCAATAAAACACCCTTGTGACATTACCTTCCAAATAGTCAAGCCAATACTGTATAATTAGACTGTCTCTAAGGCTTATAACATGAATTTATAAAAAAAAATTAGCCCTTTTGTGAACTTAGAAAATTTAACATTATATCAAAGCTCTAAATTTTACGTTATCAAGGCTCTTTTACTATCAAGCACTTAGAATAGTCGAGCGTGCTGTCCTACCGACAGCTCTTGTTCTTAATGAGATCTATCATCCTATGAAGTTTCATGTCCATAGCTTTCATACTTGAGAAGAAATAACCAGGACAAAATTAAAGTATGAAAATTAACAAAGGGCAATAACTCAAAAATTAAGAACTGCAGAGTACCAGTTCTTGTGCACTGCACTTCTTCTTAATAAGATCTATCATCCTATGCAGTTTCAAGTCCATAGCTTTTATACTTTCGGAGAAATGGCCTGGACAAAAATTAAGTATGAAAATTAACAAAGGGCAATAACTCAAAAAATAAGAAATGCAGAGTACCAGTTCTTGTCCACTGCACTTCTTCTTAATGAGATATATCATCCTATGAAGTTTCAAGTCCATGGCTTTTATACTTTAGGAGAAATGGCCATGACAAAAATAAAGTATGAAAATTAACAAAGGGCAATAACTCAAAAAATAAAAAATGCAGAGAACCGGTTCTTATACATTGTACTTTTTTTTTAATGAGATCTATCATCCTATGAAGTTTTAAGTCCATGGCTTTTATACATTGGGAGAAATGGCCCGAACAAAAATAAAGTATGAAAATTAACAAAGGGCAATAACTCAAAAATTAGGAAATGCAGAGTACCGGTTCTTGTGCACTGCACTTCTTCTTAATGAGATCTATCATCCTATGAAGTTTCGAGTCCATAGCTTTTATAGTTGAAGAGAAATGGCCCGGACAAAATTAAAGTATGAAAATTAACAAAGGGCAATAACTCAAAAATTAAGAACTGCAGAGTACTGGTCCTTGTGCACTGCACTTCGGGTTATTGAAAGAAGCATGCATACCAAGTTTGAATTCAATCAGACTCATAGTGACTGAGTTATGCTCCGGACAAGCTTTAGGGGACGCCGACGCCGACAACGACGCCGCCGACACGGACGCCGCCGACGCCGCCGACAAAAGTAACCCCCTATATGTCGCCTTTTAAGGCGACACAAAAACTAGAAACGAAACACAAGTACATTTATATGTTAATGAAAATTTAATGCATATGAAAATGCCTATGAATCAAGTTTCTTTTGACAAACATGTATAAATATTATCTTAAACTCTAAAGCTCTTTAACACCACATTAAAGAGCGAAAGTTTTTGCTAAATTTATCGTAACACATCATACAATCGACAACAGTTAAATGTTTCTTATAAGTACAATATAAAAAATGTGTTAAAGTATTAGTTCTCAGATCTACATACGTAAACGTGACCATATATATAAGTTATAACATTTTTATTCTTTGTCACTTTGATATAATGCACATTAAATCCTTTTATCACGTTATCCCTTAAATACTTAGAAAACACTTGTCAATTGATTTCAAATTATATTATAATATAAAGTTTCTAACATTAGTCTTTATTATTCATATAATAGCTGTTATTTCCATCTTACCGATATATTAGTAAATGAAGATAGGCATCAACATGTTCATGTTAGTATTAAATCTAAATGAATTGAAAGTTGTAATTTCCCTAGCATACATTATATAATAGAAGCATCTACCTATTTATTGACTGGATCATATTTTCATCAATTATTTTATCTAACCTTAAAATCAAATTAAAACTACTAAAAAATATCATTTTAAATTACAAAATAAATTGTAATAACCAAACGTAATTTTAACAATATTACATACACATTTGATATATTAAGATATTATCTCGTTATGATTATCACAATATTAATAAATATTTTTAATAACATAAAATAATTATCAACAAGAGTAGAAGGGCCGCTGTATTCTTGATTTTGTTAATAAAATAGATTTATTTCAGTGAAGTGTATATAAAATTACAACTTACATGAAAAAAGCGTTGTTTTATTTTTATTTATAACATTCCTCGCAAATTTTAAACGTACTCCTTATATCAATCATTGTCAATGACGCAGTAGTTAGCTGGGAAATTGCTTCATCTACGAATCTACTGTATGTTTATATTAAAATAACTTAATCACGATTATTAATCTTCAAACGTTATAATTATACTGAACAATGAATTACTCTGATTAAAAAAATAATCATATTAACCTCATGTAATAACGTTATTGGAAAATTATATGTGCATACGTCTTTAAGTTTGAGGTATAAAAATCGTCAAAAAGATATTACCAATATATACAGCAAGGATGTCGGCTTAATCAATATGTGTATCATTATTTCAACAAAGGGTATGGTTCACTTATGCCTGTCTCAGAATTAGCTCAATCTAATATATGTATGAAAGCAATGTCTAACATTGTAAAACACCATTTATATTTGGCAAAAACTTGCTTTGTTTTAAACGTATGTGTATAACAATTTGGGGAAAACATGTTTTTGGTATAAAAACTAGTTGTATCATGTAGTTCTATGCTGGATAATATTGCGAGATTACATTAAATGTGTAGGT